CAGAGCTGATTGGAAGTTCACATTCTGGCCTCCTGGGTTCTTAGGTCTGCTGTCCAGAAAAGCCAAGACTGAGACAGCAGCTTTTACAGTAGAGAGAATAGAGAAAGCAGCTGAACCCTCCTCCCTGAGAAGTCGGAGGCCTCTATGACTTGTCACCCAGGCTGGAGTGCAGTGGCACACTCACGGCTACCTCAGCATTGACCTGCTGGGCTCCGGCAATCCTTCTGCCAGCCTTCCAAGTAGCCAGAACTACGTGTGCGCACTACCACACCTGGCTACTCCATGGCTTTTAAAGATAATTTGGCAGACAGATAGCTAGGGGACTGGGACTGCTGCTTGGTTGGGGTGACAACAGAGTGTTGAGATCTTCTTTGTGCCTAGTAAGGGTCTGGGCAGGGTTCACAGGCCACTGATCTGGTTGGCATCAGGCCCACCAGAATGCAGAGTCTGAAAAAGATCTCAAACTTTAGTTTTAGTTTTATGTTATCCATAGTAGCAACTGGGGAAGTTGCAGATCTTGTGAGTGGTGGATGCCAGGAGTCCCTAGTGATCTGAACTACTCATACCCTTCCTCCAGGTAAACTGCTGGGCACCCTCCAGGAGGTTGGTGGGACCTATAGCCCATTGCTCTTAGAGAAGCACCAGTTTGTTAATCTTGCATGGAACCCCAGGGCTGGGATGTGCATGAGGGAGAAAAGTTTCAAGAAAACCTTCTGGCTCAGCCAGGCTTGTGTCCTGACAGAATTCAGGCTCTCGTCTCAATTCCAGCCTTGTAGTCTTTTATTCACTTTACAGAAGTGGTTTCCCTAGAGCCTGTTGTGGAGCTTGTCTGAGGCAATTGGGCAGGAACTCAACATTTCTTCAGTGAAACCTCAAATGTCACCGTCTATACAGGTCTTTCCACTCGAACTGGGTCACTCCCAGTGGGTAGCTGGACGTGTCCTCTATGGGCTGAGATCAATGCCAATGTGGTTGGAGCCCACTGCTGGGGAAGACTGAGGCCCAGAGGGGTAGAGGATCATCCTGGTGAGGAGGCTGCACTCAGCTTTTTCCTCTGTTGTTCTATCCTGGGTTTTGGAGCCCTCCCTCAGCCACCTGGCATTTTCTGACCCAGATCTTTTCTAATGTAGTCTTTCCAGCTTTGGCCAATGCTGTGGGGAGGGAATTACCCATGTGTGTGGCTGATGGGGTCAGGGGCTCCGAGTACTTCTACAAAAAGACTTTACCCTGTATCCCTGCCTTCAGTATGGTTGATGAAAAGATGCCACACTATAAAATATTTTAAGATGGTTTATTCTGAGCCAAACTTCAGGACTTAGACCCATGTCATATGTCCCCAGGAGGTTCTGAGGGTATGTGCCCACTATGGTTAAATGGTGGATTGGTTATATACCATTTTAGGGAGGCAGAAGTTACAAACCATAAATCACTATATGTGAGATTTTCATTGGTTTGGTCTGGGAAGGAGGGACATTTCTACAAGCGGGGGCTTGTTAGATGTAGGTAGATTCAAATATTTCTTGACTGGTAACTTGTAGTTCCTAACTAAGGAATTTTGGAAATCAGTAGAGAAGATGTTTTGCTGAGATAAGGGGGCAGAAAACTCCAGGTTTGTTGATAAGTAGATGAAATTCTGTATGTGGCAGACCTCAGAGAGGATAGATAGATATCTTACAAGGTTCCCAAAGTCTGGGGGTTCCAAAGGGTGGCTTTGCAGGGCCATCAAATATTAATACTTTAATTTCCTTCTTTATTTTTTAGATGATGTTATGCCGGAGTCAGGTTGGAAAACTTACCTTAGTCTATAGGGTAGCAGGGTAATAAAACCCTGTCTCGTGAGTCCTTGTCAGGTCTGGTCCTCCATATTCTTTGTGGCTTCTTTTCAGGGTTAGCAAACCCTACTCCAGGCGAAGGCTTTCAGATTTCTCTGATCTGCTAATTTAGTTACTCTCCATCCATCTTCTTTCCAGCTTCCAGAGTTTTGGTACCATCCCATATTTGCCATTTCTCCTCTCTGTTCTCTCCTTTAATGCTTAAAAAATACATTGCTATTACTTTGGTGGGATTTGGAAGGAGTAGAGATAACTGGAATTATCTTCAACAGATTTTCAGAGGCGTCTATGTCACCCACCCCAAATTAACCCTTGGCACTAGGCAACATCTTGCAGATCACCTATCAGCAACAAGACTGCACTTTTTTACGAAATGGTGAAAAACGAATCACCTCATAGTAAGTAGTATAGTATTGGAACCCATTATTTTATTGTAATGATATTTGGCTTTTAGTGGAATTGGACATTGAGGAACTTATATATGACAAAAAGATAAAAATTTTATATCTTATATTTTTCTAACGTGTGTGGTAACATGTGAAATAGTCACCAACATGCATTGCAGGTTCATTGATATATGCTGTGCAATGGCAATTTGTTTGATGTCTTCCACTTGGTGTTTTTCTATTTGAGCAAACAATGCGGTCTCATTTTCTTCCTCCCACATTAAATTGAACAACAGATTCATCAATACAAACTGCCTAATCTGGTATGAAATAATGCGAAAATTTTGAATTGATGTATTCCAAATAATTACTGACCTTTTGAATATGAGTTCTGATCATCCCATCATTCGACGTAGGTGTCTTCAAATGAAGCATCCAGAAGATTTGCATAAACTTTTCTCTACTGAATGTTTCCAAAAGGAAGAGTATTTTACTATTGAAGGCATTTGACCAGTACTCTTGCAAATTTGTTACTGAATTATTCCCATATTTAGGATAACTGTGTTAAAAGCTAAAAATTCCTCTTGGTCAATGTCATGCCACTTATGCCAAATCAATTTGTGTGACAGCTGCTTTTTCCTTATTTTTTCCCCTTTGAATAATGATTTGCTTCTTTTATTACACTATCCACTAATTCATTTGTAAAATGCAGAGTAAAATAGTCAGTTAGCTCTCTTATATTACTTACTATTTGTGGTCCCGTGGTTTGAGAATGTACAACGAAATTTACTCTCGCTGGAGGGCCTTCTTTTTCTGTAAATCTGAAGTTCTAAATCTAAATTTCTAAATCTAACTCATCTTCGCTCCTGCTTATTTTGTGACTCTCACTTTTGTCTTCTCATTTTGCATTGTTCTGAAAATGAAATAAATGAGTAAAAAATTTCTAATTGTAAATTATGAAATCATAAAATGAAAAATTTATCAAGAAATATTACTTTTCCAATTTTACTTCCTTGACTTAGTGCGGATATTATATATTCGATCTGTGCCACTCGGTGCTTCAATATGATCTGCCTTCAACTTCGAAAGTTTCTTTTAAGACTATAACTTGCTTATCTGTCTTTTCAAGTTATGCCATATGATACAAAGGGTGTACCCATAGCTGCCTTTCTTATACATACCATCTGTATCACCACCTTCTCTCTTTTACAAATGTGTTGGCACCGCCGTGAAAGCACTTCACACATTCTCTTTTATGTAACACCAGCTGATTTTTAAAATGTATATCTCAGTATATATTTGATCCTTTCATTTGCTTTTTCATGCAATTTGAATGGAAAACTTAAAGGAAACATACATTTCTGAAAAATGTGCACTTGCCTAACTTTGTCACCAGCAACCTCTCTATGTTCCCTCAAGGGGTTTGCTAGATTTATGATGTCCCCTCCGAAAGCACACCTGAGTGCAAAAGGTTAATATTCATTCCACTGTCTTATCAAGGTAGATTGCAGATCCTCTCATTCAAGTGTGTTTGTTTTCAACGTGGGAGAGTTTCATAGAAAGAAGTACAATTCAGGCATTGTCCTAAAGTTGTAGGTATGGGTTAGATACTTCCTTAGGAAACCTTCTCATCTTAGCATTCTGTCTTCATGTTGTCCATGCTTGTTGGAAAAATACTCAAGTTTAGTGTCAGTGAATATGTTCAGCACTACACCACATCTTGTAGAATAATACAGATTTTTCAGTTGTCAAAAATGTGGTAGACTTTCTGGGATGATAGAAATGTCCCGTGTATTGATGAAGGTTTGGATTATACAGTCGTATGCATTCGTTAAACTCATCAAATGGTACACTTGAGATGCATTCATGCATACATATTACCTCAAATGGCAAACAGAAACAAAACTGTAAGCAAATATTAAACTCTAATTTAAATAAAAATACATGTTAAGACTGTCAAAAGTATATGAAAGTGGGCTGTGCATTGTGAAAGGTTACAGTTCTTTTTATTTTTCCATATTATAAAGATGGAGAATTTTAAGTTAGGATAACAGATAAAAACCTTCTTCCTATTGTGTGCATTGTGACCAGCCCTTCCCACCTCTTTCTTCCCTTTGGTTTTGTTATATTATGCCTCTGCTAGTTACTGTACTGGACAGGTCCGCGGGAATGGTAGAGTTGTCTCATTTAATATCTAATATTCAAAATATGAGGTAAGCAATCTTTGGTATGCCTTCTTATTTTTATTTTATCTCTGGAAATACCTACTGTTTTGGAAGTTTTTTTTTTTTCTTCTTCTAATTTTAGTCAGTTGAGGTGAGCACCCAGTTCCTTAATTGTAAACTTGAGCTGGCATTCTAGAGGTAGAAGCATGGCCCAAGTAACCTATCAGCTGAACAATATTTGCAAGAAGGATTAGGGAAGGACTAATGGTGTGAACTCTCACGTTGACCTTCTCCTTTTAGGTAGATTGATGTTTATGTGGTGCTTCATGTTTTCAGAGTAATTTATCCCTAGTAGTTTTTTCTAGATTCACTTGAAGGTAAGTAGGAGTAGTTTTCTCATTTTATGGAGAAAAATTACAGACATTGAGAGGCAGAGATATGCCCACATGAGTCAGTGTCAGAACCACGATTAGAATTCTGTGGGTAAGCTAACCAAGGAGAATAAGTGGGCGTTAGGAACTGTTACATACAGAAGTGCAGTGGGACTCCAGACCAGATCATGGGTTTACTCTGGCAAGACTTGGCACTGACCCCAGGCTGAATCTGTTTTGTTGCAGGTCAAGGAGAACCTGCTTTCATGCAAGATGCTGTTGCACTGCAAACGGGACGAGCTTCGGAAGCTGTGGATAGAAGGCATTGAACATAAGCATGTCCTGAACCTGCTGGATGAGATTGAGAATATCAAACAAGTGCCTCAGAAGCTGGAACAGTGCATGGCCAGCAAGCACTACCTCAGTGCCACTGACATGCTGGTAAGGGCGCAGCCTGGGCATGGGGCATTCCTGCCAAGATGCAGACACACTCTCTCTTGTTCTGTGTCCTGTAATGCATGGAACAGTGCATGGCTAGCAAGCTCTATCCCAGTGCCCCTGACTTGCTGGTAAGGGCACAGCCTGGGCCAAGGGGCATTTCTGCTGAGATGCAGACACTCTCTCTTGTTCTCTCTGAGTCTTGTAATGCACGTCACACATTACAAACTGCCCCCTTGAGGTTCATAAGCCCGTGCAGGTGAAGCCTGTCTGGTTCTCTTTCTAATTACAGAATTTGCAATGGTAGATGATGATTATTTATGCATTGTCTGCCTTTGGAACAATAGCAAGAAATATAGTGATGAGAAACCAGTACTGAAATCATGTTAGAATGTTGTTGAGAGGTATGTTTTAGAGGAAGAGAGTTAATCCTGTTTTAAAGAATGAATCTCCATGAGAGAATCGTTGAAGATTTGTAAACTTGGTGTTCCACACATCTGTTAAAGGAGTTCTTTACATTAGGACTTTTTTTAAATTTAAGATGATAAGAAAGAAATATTTTGGGGACTAATACTGGAAGCAACTTTGTTAGGCAAGAATACTCCTCCTCCTAGCCTTTAGCCCCTATGCTAGCCCCTTGTGTTCTGTCACTCTTTGAATTAGTGAACATTCCCCTAAGGTTCCAGTTGATAGGGGCTGGTGTCAAGATGATGAGTAAAAAGGAGAAATACAGATTTTGCTCCCCAACAACCCTCATGTTCCCAGGCCTGTGGCTCGTAGAGGACAGCTCTTCTCTCTTCTCTTCCACTTCCCTTTCCATCTCAGAGTTGGCTGAGGACTTAGAAACTCTCAGCAGCAGATGGGCTGTATTTGCTTTCCTTTCCACAATAGGTGAAAGTCCTTTGTCTTTCACTTAATTAGATTGGCTTTCATACTAGAAAAACACAAGGGGAATTGGTGAGGAGACAGGCTAAATGCTGTAAGTGTTCTAATTCATTCAGACCTCTAAGAATTTTCCTAAAGCTCCTTCATAAGAAGCTTTGAAGGAAGTTTGGAAACCAAAGAGTGTGAAGTGCCATGATACTCTCTCATGTATAGGACTGCATGGTCAGTTTCTACAGTGGAAGGAAGTTAATAATAGTCTCTCTCTTTTTTTTTAAGTGAGAAGCAGGATTTATTGAGAGGACAGAAAAGCTCCCACAGAGGGAGGGGACCCGAAGGGAGTGGCCACTCTTGGGAGTGGCAAAATAATTGGTTATTTTCAGTATCTTTTTCAAACTGACATCTTAGTAATGACCTAGGGTGTCTGACAGAAAAATTAGTTACTTTTGAACTTCACTGTTGGTTTATACATTTAGTGCTGGTGTGTGGTGAATTTTCAAGTTTCAGCAATCAGAACAGATAAGCTTGTATGTAATTGTGTAGCATCTATTTGAATCATGATTATTTTTTGGCGTGGGACTGCTTTTAAGCAAGTGCCACAGATATAAATAGGTTGCTAGAATTTATATCTGTGTTAATTGTGTTCAATTTAGGGTTTCAAAATTTTGTTTTATGGTCCTATTACTTAGTAGCCAATCAGTATTGAATATAGTCCCTTTCTTTTGACTCCTTTTTCTTCAAGACCTCTTTAAAGAACTTCTTTAAATTGTTGGTTGCGAGTTACAGAGATTCAGCTCTAGCTAACATAGGTAAGGTGATGTTTCACCCAGGTAGCTAGTCTGCTGAAGGGACAGAAGCGTCTGTGGAATGCCATTGTGTGTTCTCCCTGCACGTTGCCTTCCTTGTTCTACCTGTAGATTGGTTTCTTCCATACGTGGAGGAGGGAGATGAGTGTTGAGGGAGATCAAGGGATATTGCTGTAGTCTGTGTCTTTCCAGCTTTGCTGAAGAAAATGACCTTCTTTTCTAATGTAGAAAGCCAGCATTAGGACCCAGGTTGAGCCAGCTACTTACTTGATCTGGTCATTAGTGCTGACTCAAACTATATGGTTGGGGTGAGGGAGGGATGGTTTATATATTCAGGATACAAATTCTTTTATCTGTTAGATTGCAGATATCATCTCCCAGTTGATGTTTTATCTTTTTCCTTTGTTTATGGTGACTTTCATTATAAAGAAATTGAAAGTTTTGTTTATTTATATTTTAGATTTGTGGGGTACACATGAGTGTTCCTCACATGGACATATTGTGTAGTGATGGGGAGTGAGTCTCAGGTGGCCCATTCCCTCATCAGTGACCACTGTACCCCAAAGGCATTAGCATTTTGGTGCCATAACATTTCTCAGTTTTTTTTTTCATTTTCTATGACTTTTGGTTTAGGATACTGTTTTCCATCTTAGTGTCATAAAGAGAATGTCTGTTTTCTTTTTTGACTCAACGAAAGTCCATTTTTATATATAGTATCAACTTGGGATCTAATTTTATCTTTTTTCTATATAACCAGCTGGCTCAGACTGTTTATTGAAGCCCTTTTCTCCTCATCTGTAATGCCGTTTTGATTGCAGACCAGGTTTTCACACGTATGCATGTCTGTTTCTGAGCTCTTCATTTTGTTCAGTTGGTCTTGTCTGTATCTGCACCATGCTGCCTTAATTGCCATCACATCATAATATGTCTTGATAGGAAGTGGAGACATTCCCTCACCTGTTACTCAAAATGGTCTGTATTGTTCTTGGCCCTTTCCTCTTCCACAGGAATTTTAGTATCAGCTTGTCAAGCTTCACACAAACATGGAGGAGTTTTGATTGAACTTAGGAGAATTTCTATCTTTGCAATATTGAGTCTTCTTGTCAGTGAACAGGATATGCGTCTCATTTATGGAAATCTTCATGTATGTCCTTTGATAATGCTTAGTAATCTACTCCTTAGAGGTATTACATATATTTTGTTAGATTTTTTCTGGATATTACATATTTTTTATTGCCTTTTAAAACAGTAGCTTCTTGCTAATTAAATTTTCTAGTTATTTGTTACTGGTGTATAAGGATGTGACATATTTTTCTTTCTTAATTGACTATATATTTTCCTAAACTGATTCCCAATCCTGTGTACCTGGAAAATGATAATTTATTCTTTTTTTTTTCTGAGTCAGAGTCTCACTGTCACCCAGGCTGGAGTACAGTGGCATGCTCATGACTACTGCAGCCTCAACCTTCAGGGCTCAGGTGATCTTTCTACCTCAGTCTTCCTAGTAGCTGGAACTACAGTCATGCACTACCGCACCCAACTCATTTTTTGATTTATTGTAGAGATGAGGTCTCCAAGTTGCTCAGGCTGGTCTCAAACCCCTGGGCTCAAGCAGTTATCTCACCTCGGCCTCCCAAAGTACTGGGATTACAGGCATGAGCCACCACGCCTGGCTGATAACTTGTTCTTTATGGTCTGGCTTAAATTTCAACAAGTCACTCAATGTCCCAGATACTCAGATAGCTAGATGCTTTTTTTTTATGTTTCCATAAGCTCATGTGTTATTTCCTTTTTAGTATCTTTGCTTTTGTTTGTGTGGTAGGTCATTGAGGGTAGGGGTTCTGCCTTGTCTATTTTTGTCTGCCTTGTACCTTACATAGTGCAGCTCATATAGTCAGAGTTCACAAGTCATTAGCCAAGTAGGTAACTATGTGGAAAACTTAATACCAGTAGGTGGAGAAAAAGGAGTTTATTTTGCAGGAGGTTTGTTCTGTTTTTTCTTCTCTGGTTAGTTTATTTAGTTTATTATTATTTTTAATGGTAAGGTTCTCTAGTTTCTAACTTCTCCTTTTTGTAACAGTTAAATGAACAGCAACATTTATAACAGTAGCTAATATGTGCTGAGCACTTACTATGTGCTTATACCATTTTAAGTGTATTTCACTTGTTAACCTATTGAATTAGCACAACAACCCTATGAGAGATAGGCTTCTGGTATCATTACCATTTTTCAGCTTGCAAGATCTGAGGAGTTGATGTATTCCAATAAACAGTGATCTATGTATCCCAATATGCAAAGTTTGCATGGCAGTAGAGTGTAGAGTGCCCTTAAAAGGTTGAAGATATTCTTCAGCTTGGGCTTTTGTATATATGAGTGAAGAGTAAGTTCCATAAGAGCTTTTTCACTGACTTCATATGAAAAATAATCGCATTTTCTTTGCCCATGGTTATGTGCTATGATAAGTAAAATCTACTTAAGGTATCACAAGGGGCCCAATGAAAATCTTTGCTAAAAGATATCATAGGAAAGTTAAGACAGAATAATGTAGTTTTTCAAAATCCCTGATTTCCTTGGATTTGTCAAAAGATTTTGCATTTCCATCTCCATTTCAAGGCAGGTGTAGATGCAGACGTGTAATAACTTAATCACCACTCAGTCTAGATGAATACATCCGGAGTAAATAAATCAGGGATGACCCATTGCTCTTGCCAGCTCCTGCCACTCCCGCTTCACCATCACACTGGTCGGTAGCTATAGGCTTGGCTTCTCAGTAGGATATTTACTCCTTTTGATATGATAACCTAAGTATTACATGAAATAATTAAATTGTCGTGACAGGGAATGTCTGCAAACAGGTCTGGCCTTTTGTTTCCTTCTTCAAGGTAAACAGCTGCTGTTGGCTTTTGAAAAGCTAAACGTGATCCAACAAGAAGGCTGTATCTGTCACATTGAAATCAGAGGCTTGATTAATATTGTAGCCTGTAGCTTTGTGATATGTACGGCTTAAATTAGACCTTTGCAGTCATTGTGCTGGGCTGATGCAAGCACATTAATGACATAATTTCTGGTTGCTGCATCACATTTCTGCAGTCTGTCTTTGTATTCCACTCACATTAATTGAAGTAATTTTACCAGTGAAGCGTGTTTCAAACCTCTGCATTTAAATTGAAATTTTAATTCCCTTATTGTCTTGGAAAGACGACTGAAGATGCCTTGTTACAGGTTTCATTATCACTCAAAACACTCCAGCTGCTGGTTCTAATGTACAAAGACTGATTAATTCTGGAAAGAATTATTAATATAAGAATAGCAGC